TTCTTTAGCTAGAATGTACTTTTGAGGGGCTGGTGTACCCTATTTTAAATTATATGTTTTTGGTTTGATGGTATTGCCTATTGTTCAGGAGGTTTGAGTCTGCATTACAGGGGAACTCTGTCAAAATTTTCATAAAAGTCCGTCACAGTTAGGAAATCTCAAAGTTGCATTGTTGATGTTATTGAGCTAGCATATTGTAGAAGTAAGTTGTGGCAGAGATTTTGTATTTGTTGATGTTCTTTAGCTAGCATGTTTTTGTTTGATGTTGATGTTCTTTAGCTAGAATGTACTTTTGAGGAGCTGGTGTACCCTATGTTATATGCACTGGTTTGATGGTATTGGTTAAAGTTCAGGTGGTTTTAGTCTACATTACAGGGGAACTCTGTCAAAATTTTCATAAAAGTTAGTCACAGTTAGGACATGTCAAAGTTGTCTTGTTGATTTTTTTTTAGCTAACATGTTGTTGGATGTTGATGTTCTTTAGCTAGCATATTGTATAAGGCTATGATTGAGAGTTGATATTTTTTGACATTGCATATTGTTAGTAGTTGATTTACATGCTAATTATACCCTTATTACTTTTGTCATATGTAGGGAGTGAAATTAATTTTGGGACAACTTGCAATCACAGAAGCAAATTCAGATATGAATCGAATGTTTTGTAATCTTTTTTTGTTGGTCAACTGTGATTGCAATTTTTTTGAATAGCGTAATGATGTTAACCTTTTGAGTATGCTAATGATGTTAGCATATTGTATTGAATCATATCCCTTATTTTTGTTTATTAGAATTATGTAACATTTGATTACATACGACTAATTTGTAAGCATTTGTTTCAGTAGGTTTGTTGGAAATCAAATAAATTAATTATGCAAATTTTTTTTAAAAATTGTAAAATGACCGACGGCAACGTTTGGCAAATGTTGCGGTATCCATCTACCGCAACGTGATACTGCAACGTTTGACAAACGTTGCGGTAGACCTCTCACTCTACGACAACACTTGAATTTGTAACACACGTTCAAACGTTGCCGTAGGCCTATAGCAACGTTTTTCGAACGTTGCCGTAGGCTGTTTTTCTTGTAGTGAGTTGAATTTAAGTGATTTTAGTTTCTGAAAGCATATGATGGACAATTGATCGATTGTCATTAAAAGATCAAAAACTATCATCACAAATCTAACTCATGAAGGATGTTAAGATCAAAGTCACACATTTAAAAATTTAAGAGCCAAACTTTAAAGTAAGATTAAAGACTTGATTTCTTAGATAAAGTGTAAAGGTACTAACACCTTGATATTTGACCGTGAATGCTTAAACTCAAAATCTTTCTATACATTAAAAACAATTTTGTGCATTGAAAGTCATTCTAATACAATGTTTTGATCAAATATAAAATTGACTTTTAAAAATGATATTTAAACTTGAAAAATAGCTTCAATCTTGAAAAGTTAGTAAAAAATACTATTCAAAAGTCGATGATAAGTAAGTGGAAAAGCTATGGAGTTTTGCATGATGTGAGTTAAAGTGTTAGGATTCACGAGTTCACCACAACTATCTCTTAATCTCGATCACTAAATTTTGTTAAGAATTATTTATTTGTACTCGGTCAAATTATTCTAAATTAACTAATTTGTCTCTCTCGAGATCAAATCAATCCTACTCAATTAAGTTAACTTACTATATCTCTATGTGAATCATGATAAGCGTAATGAGGAGCAATCAATCACCAAAGATTTAATTGATAACAAGGAGAACCATAAAATGTATCTTTACCTTTTTCTTTTTCTTTTTTCAAATTTTTGAATTTTACTATGTGGTCAAAACAAATAACTCACTTCTCAACATAATTATCGTTCACAAAGAAAAGAAGGAAAAATAATTTACAAACATCAATTGAAAATCAAAACTTTGTAATCAAAATTAAGGTTCAAAATTAGGTTATCATCGTTCATCTCAATTAATTGTTTACTTACTCAAAGTCATTTATCCAATGGCACGCAGGATCTGAGCACACGCTTTGGAGCTAACTTCATAACAATTGACAAGAAGCAACTTTTGTTATCGAGATATGGGTTGTGAATAACCTTTTATTTGCTGTTATCTGAATCCAGTTTCTTTGTTCCGATTCTAATTTCCTTTAGATGGAAGTGTTAGATCTACTCTTACTCAAGGTTTTCACAAGAAGAAATTGGTACGTGTATTTTGTTATCCTCTTGCGACTTAATATCATTGCCAAGTATTTTTCTAAAGGACTGCCTTCACAGGTAGGATAGGTTATCATGAACTATCCACATGTTCAGCGTGGCTGATCCTCAAGCTTTTCTTTGGTTTAGTTATCGGATTTTAAAGAAAATCCGGATCCATCTCATTCTTGTAAAAATCTTGAAATCCCGAGCTTCGTGAATTATTTCATTATTTTTCTCTCTATTTTTTATTTTTTTCTGAACCCATATCTCCTCTCCCTTTTGAAAAGACTAGAAGAAGCCTATTTATAGTTCCCTCATTAGGTCCAAAATCGAACCAAATAATGTATTAAATCCGAAGTTGAGTCAAAATAAGAGACTGGATTCTGGTGTTGACGAAATATTATATAGATAATTTAATATATCTTCTATTTTTTATTTAAAATAATAATACTGTATAATTAATTTCAAACTGTTATTTCATTATAATATTTTCTATTACAAATATTTGATTTCTATAAAAATAATCCCACAAACAAGACATTTTAACCAAATTCGGAGAAAAATTTTCCTACACGCATGTCACTAGTTATTATTGTTCCCTTGCTTCTCTTTATCCATTGACAACAATGAAACAAACAAGCAGATTAGTTGAAAAAGAAAAGGAAAAATAATTAAATATAAAATTAACTAACGCAAAAATTAAATAAAATAGTACCAAGTACAAAGCTATGATGCCAAAAATTTATTGTCGATTTTATCCCGCGAGTGGACGTATGTTACAAGTAATAAAGTCATTAATAGAGTATCGTCCCCACTATATGCCTAGTTTACTTTAATTAAATCTAGCTCTAATTCAAAACAGAGAGTTTTTTTATTTTAGCTAGTTCAAATTATCTATGAAAATAAACAACTGTCTTAAAAATTTAGTCAAATCACAAAAGACACTAGGATCTTGAATGCATCATTATTAGTTTATTTTAATCCTTAATTACTCATTAATAATCAATTGATTATTTATGTTGACAACGGATATTACTTATGTGCTAATTTTCTTTCTTGAGATAAATAAATCAAATTTTTAACTTACGACCCAAGTATAGATATCAAGGATTAGAATAGATAAAAATGCAAGATAAAATTAGAATAGCACAAAAAATTGCACCAAGTATAGAAGTATCTCTATCTCTTATAAGACTTAGTGTTGCTTGTTATTTGAGCTAGAAATATAATTTATCTCTGGATATAATTACTATCGCAACCACAATCCTAGAATTAGCCAAATAACAGGACGACGATGAATTCGGCAGCAAATAATCAAGAGTCAAAATTTATCAATTCTAGCCTAGGTAGGTTGAAAGTCAATGATCCAATTATAACTAGTGATGTTTCTCAAGATCATGCAATTCTATGAAACGAGATCGTTCGGAGAACGATTCTGGATCACTAAATGAAGTCCTCCGTTCCTCCTTTGTGTATTCAGGTACCAAGAGTCCGCTCACTATCCACCGACATCATTTGGCCGGGTCTTGATTAGGGATGGCACAATGGCCCGTCGGCTCGGGCTCAGCCCGGAAAAAGCTCGAGCCGAGGCTCAGGCTGAGCCCCATTTTCGGACGTCGGCTCGAGCTGGCCCCGCCCATGAGCCTAAAAAAAATTTTAAAAAAATTTAATATTGAATTTTTTTTCTTTTAATTAGTTGTAATTTTTTTATATGTTAATATATAGTTATTATTTATAATATGTATACATTGCACAAATTTTAAATTCTTTAAAAAAATTTTAGATTTGTCACGAATTAAAAAAAAAAAAAACCGAGCCGACTCGACTCATTAAGGCCCGAGCCGAAAGCTCAGGTCGAGCCTAATTTTTTTAACCAAGCAAAACTCGAGCCAAAAAAACTCGAACTATTTTCACTCGAGTCGAGCCCGAGCAAAAAGTTTCGGCTTGCGGCTTGGCTCGTTCACACCTCTAGTCTTGACCCTTAAATAATGGAAGAGTTAAAAAAGTTTCATAAAAATCCTACCCACAAAGGATTTAGCCTATAATATTTTGATCGCAAAAATACAAAATAGAAAGTTATTATTTTGTGATCCAAATTGAAAAAGGTTTTACTAAAGTATGGAAGTTTTAGGACAGCAATTGGGTGCTTGGGCGCCTAATCCGGGCGCCACTTAAGGTGATTGGATATAATTTGTAGCCGAAACGAGCCGCCTAAGTGCTATCGCTATCGTTCGCTTATTGGTCGGCTATCGCTAGATCGTCGCGTGCCGCTCACTTAGAGCAAGGCTGCCGCTCGATTGGCGTATATATCCAGGAAAAAAATGTTTCCTTCTTTTGACACAGCTTTTGATCCTTTTCTAACCATAACGTATTCTTTTGGGTTCTAT